TTTCTTTCTTTCTTTCTTTCTTTCTTTCTTTCTTTCTTTCTTTCTTTCTTTCTTTCTTTTTAAAGATTTATTTATTGTTTTATGTAAGTACACTGTCACTGTCTTCAGACACATCAGAAGAGGGCATCGGATCCTATTTCAGATGGTTGTGAGCCACCATGTGGTTGCTGGGAATTGAACTCAGGACTTCTGGAAGAGCAGTCAGTGCTCTTAACCGCTGAGCAATCTCTCCAGCCCCCTGAGAGTGCAATTTCAATCCTATGCTAGCAGGCTTGTGTGTGTGTATGGTGTGTGTGTGCATGTATATATGTGTGCATGTATGCATGTGCATATGTGCATATCTGGGTGTACATGTATATGTATGTGTGTATCTGTCTGTATGTGTATGTATACATGTGTGTTTGTATGTGTGCATGTGTGGCTATGTGTGGGCATATATGTGTATGTGTGTGTATGAATATGTGGCTTTGTATGTGGGTGCATGTATGTCTATATATGTGAACATGTATGTGTCTGTATATGTGTGTGCATGTGTGTACATGTGTGTTCTGTGTGTGTGTTTGTGTGTATATGTGCCTGTATCTATGTGTATTTGTATGTATATGTATATGTGTGTGCCTGTGTGTATTATGTTTGTATGTGTGTGTGTTTGTAGGACAAAGGACAGCTTTGTCCTCTGCTCCCACCATGCAGGTTCTGGAGGATTGAGCCCACTGGCTGAGACATTTTGCCAGTCTTCTTTTAGGGCTTTCTGGTGCTATGAATAAAATCATGGAAGTGAGGGGTGTCCTTCTAAGTCCAGCTCTGGCATTTCCTTTCTCTCACTCCTCCTGGTTTTCAGCCTGCCAGCCTTGAACCTGTGAACACAGTTCAGTTTTCTTAGCTTTGAGTGGGGATGAGGAGAGCACACTGAGCCAGCTGCTTTGAGATCCATTCCTGCTGAGCATGTGTCCTTAGGCGAAGTGATTACTTCCCAACTAACTTTGCTCAGCAGAAAGAGTAGCAAGCTGAGGTATATGTAAGGTCTTCTAGGCTTCTAGTAGGTAGTCAACAATATTAGCCTTGGTAGTTTTTCTTATTATTTTATTTTTTTGCCTTGCTCAGGGTATGGGGAACTATGTTAATTTGTGAAATACTTCTTGTTGCGGCGTATTAAAAGACTCCCAATTCATGTTGTTGTTTTTGTTGTTAACTGAACCCCTTTCCCAGAATTTCTTGCATTTTGAAGTGACCGCATGAGCCAGTTTTGGACAAAGAGATGGAATAGGAAGTTCTTGGGTGCTTCTGGAAAATCTTGTGCTGGCGACTTTGTTTTTGCTTTGAGCTAATGTGTGATTTCTAGACTCATGGGGCCGTTAGACAGGGGATGTCATCTAGGTGGATGGGAATCTCACTCCTCTGAAAACCTTTGCTTCAGCTGACTGTTCTCTGAGCATCCAAATATCAGCTCTTCTGAGACACTATAGTGTCTGCTAACACAGGGTAGTGACTGAGTCTGGATAAAACCTCCTGGTTGCCCCTGTTAAGTATATTTCTTTTATGTTTCCTCATTATAGTATTTCTAATGTATCAGTGGGAGCTTTGCTGGGCTGCTTGCTTATGTTGCAAGGAGCTGTCAAGACAAGTCAGGGAAGGTCTTGTCTTGGAACTTGGACTACTTACATATTGTTTTGCTTAGTCTTTGAAAGCTGATCTTGGCCACTGTATTAGTTTCCTATGGCTGCTATAACAACTCATGCACAGCTAGTGACTCAGCTAACACTCAGCTAACAATGTATTATCTTACACTTTAGCACTTAGAAGTTTGAAATGGGTTTCAATGAACTAACATCAAGGTGTGGCCAGGCCTGTGTATCTGGTGGGAATCCCAGGAAAGAACTATTTCCCTGAAGCCTTTTCCAGCTTCTCTATAAAGAGCCTTGTATTCCTGCCTTGTGTCCCCTTCCTCCAAGACAGTAACATTGGACAGTGTGTGTGTGTGCATGTGTGTGTGCGTGCGTGTGTATGTTTGTGTGAAGGGGGATCCTTTTCATCTTGTGGTCTCTCTGGTTCTCCCTTCCAAGTCCTTACATTTAAAGAATTCTCATAACTGCATTGGACCTCCAAGAAAACTCATAATAATCTACCATTTTTAAGACTAGCAAACCAAACATGGTACTGTAATCCCAGGACACAGAAGGTAGAGGCAGGAAGTTTGTGAATTTAAGAGAAGCCTGAACTGTATGTATATGATGAGACCCTGCCTCAAAACACGACAAAACACAACAAAACACAACACAATACAACACAACAAAACACAACAAAACACAACAGGGGTTAGGAGTGTGACTCAGTGGTAGAGTACTTGAGCACATACAAGACCTTGGGTTCAGTCCTCAGCAGAACAACCTAATCAAATCAAATTTCATCCAATTAGCAGCCCCCATTCCACCTGCAACCCCAACCCCTCCCCTGGGTCATATAATATAACATATTAACAGTCTCTAGGGACTAGAGAAAGGACATTCTGTGTGTGTGTGTGTGTGTGTGCATGTGTTTTAGTTTCTCTTAGTCATTTCTTGAGTGACACATGTGAAGGTAATTAACAAAGCCTCTTCATTGGATGAACAGGGGCATAGGGAAGACCAGGACCACTGGAGAGGCTGGTTAGGGCAAGAGCTATTTTCATGTTTCCAATACGCATAGTGTGAGTGGAAACAAGGCAAAACACAGAGGAACAAGTTAGAATAATTACCACCAATGCTTAAAGAGTATCTTTATGTAATGACGGTGGAGAGACTGAAAGAAAAATATTAAAATACTCAAAACAGCAATAGTACACTGCTGGGCACAAGAACACACATCATCCTTGTTTCTAAAATCAAAATCCTAGTAATATGGTTAGATCATATTTATGATAAAGTTAAAAATCAACTAACTTTAGTGCATCTGCCTCCTCTTCTCTTCCATGTCTTCCTAGTCCTTTCTCTTTCCCAGTAGCGTTCTCCACCCAACCACCCACTCAGAGGTTACTTGAAAACAGAGAGGGAGACAGAAGGGAGCCAGGGAGGGAGTTTCTGGAAGAGGGAAATAAACACGACAGCAGGAGGCTGGCTGCGGTGGGTTTAGACTGCTCAGCCTGCCTTGGCTTTGCCAGTCAACCCTCTCCAGGCTTCTTGTGAGACGTAATTAGTATGCTCAGAGCAGCCCGTTAGCCACCCTCCACCTTTAATGAGAGGCTTGCTCTGACAGGCTGCCTTCTCCATGTCTACCAGGCCTATGAAGGTGTGTGTGTGTGGGGGGGGATGCTGTGCTGCCTTGCATCTGTGGCACTGTCCACTGATCCCAGGACAGGAGGAGGTGGTGGTTAGGGCTTGTATACCTGCTCAGGATGGCAGGGCTGCCCCAGCGTCCTCAGGAAGGTCAGAATGGCCTGCTCAGCCAGCTGCTACCATACTGCAGAGAGCAGCCCAGCTTCTGTGTGCAGAAGTTCACAGAGGCTGAAGACAGATGCTCAGAAATGCCAGGGCTGGTAGGCAAAGCCCCCTCTTGGCTGATTCAGCCTTCATCAGATCCTCCAGATCTATTCTGCAGCCACAGTCCACGCCTGGCTGATTCCCCTGAGTTCCCTCTGCCTGCTCTGGGCCCTTGCTCACCTATGCCTTCGTTTCTACTTATTTTTACCACAAGACTTTATTTAAATTCTTTTTCCTCCAGAAAGCTACTCTAGACTTTCCCAGTCAGAGACAGTCATGGTGGGAAGACACCAAAACAGCAGAGACAACAAAGGCACAATTAGACAAACAAGATTACTCCAGACTCAGAAAATCAACAGTGAAGAAGCCTGCAAAATGGAGTATTTTAAATAAAGTTTTTCTTCTGGCAAAGGATAACTATTCAGAATATAGAAGGAATTAAAAAACATTAATAAAAAAATCCGGTTGAAAAATGGGCAACATACGCAGGCACTTCTCAAAAGAAATCCAAATGGTCAAGAGATTTGTGAGAAAAATGCTTAATGCCATTCGCAGCAGAACTTCAATGGGAGAGCGTCTCACCCCAATTAGGAAAGCTATTATTACACAGAGGAAGAAGAGCCAGGGAGAGAGTTCTGGGGGTAAAAGTGTTTGATGCTAAGCTTGAGGAGCTAAGTTCAGTCCTTGGGACCTACATGGTAGCAGGAGGGAGGGAACCACTCCAAAAAGTTGTCTTCTGACCTATGCCTGCCCACACATGTGTACACACACACACACACACACACACACACACACAGAGAGAGAGAGAGAGAGAGAGAGAGAGAGAGAGAGAGAGAGAGAGAGAGAAATGTAATTTTTAAAAAGACAAGAAGTAGTGGCTAGGTATGTAGCTTAGTTATTAGAGTGCTTGCTAGCATGCCTGAGGTTCTATCTGCTATGCTGCAAACCAGCCAGTGGGCTTGCCTGAAAGCCTAGCACTCTAGAGATGGGAGCCAGGGGGTCAGGAGTTCAAGGTCCTTCTCAGCTACACGGTGAGCTTGAGACCAGATACAAAATCTGGTCTTTTAAAAGGACAGAAATGGCTGAATACCAAATAGCGGTGAGATGTGGAACAAAAGCAATGCTTAGCACTGTTTTTGGGAATGAAACGAGCATGGCCACCATGGAGAAAAAAATGGAGATTCCCCCTAAGCACTGAAAACTGATCCACCACATAATCTGCCAGTCAAACTCACTACTCTGCAGTAACTGAAGAAAAACACTGTAGCAGCATTCTCATGCTTATTTGGGCGTCAATAGCTAAGACAGTATCTTCTAGATGCCCATTGGTAGATGGATAGGTAGGGAAGAGTCTTTCTTCCATGTGTGTTGGGAGCACAACATGAAGGTCCTTTTACCCATAGATCTCCAGGAAAACCAGGAATGCTAAGTATATGAAGGAATGGATATAAAACCTGTTCTTTTGTCCAGAAAGCTGAGAATTGAAGGGGATTAAAAGCCTGGTGATCTGTGTTACCTGTTGGGCCAGGCCATATGGAGTTCTCACAACCAGGACCAGAGATGGCCAGTAATCTAAATGACTTCTATGGTGTCTGAATGATGGAGACCAGGCCACATCCTTCCCTAGGCCCTTAGGGTACAGGTAGCCTATCTCTAGAACCCATCTTCTCAGAAGAAATGACAAGGGCCCTGAGTTGAGGTTCGATGTAATTATGCTTCTTGTGCACCTGGGATAGTATTGTACCAGGAAACTTTTTTTCTAAAGTAACTGGGGTTAAATATTCTGACAACGAACAAACTGGCTTCAGACTCTCTAGAATATTTGATCCAGGCTGAGGAAGTCAATTTGAACTGAGTTTTCATTCTTATCTCTTTCAGGTTTGTTTCCCTGCCTGACAGCTGCAGAGATCTCTCACATGTGGATTCTATAAGAAGACCAGGATGTAGGGAAGGTAGGAGGATACAGAAGGAGGAGGTAGGAGGATACAGAAGGAGGAGGTAGGAAGGATACAGAAGGAGGGGGTAGGAAGGATACAGAAGGAGGGGTAGGAAGGATACAGAAGGAGGGGTAGGAAGGATACGGAAGGAAGGGTAGGAAGGATACCAGTGTTCTGCAGCATGGGGTGGAGGATGCAGGGGGATGACTGCAGCTCACAAGAACCATCTATTTTATGAATAACTAGAAGGGAGAAGCTTAAAGGCTCCAAATACAAGGTGATGCTAAGCCAGGTTAAAATGCTGATTACCTTATTTGCACACATATGTGTAAGCAGGCATTGCACAAGTATACTGAAAAACCACACCATACCCGTATAATTGTTATGTTAGTCAAAAATTAATGTGTGCAAGCATTTCTCTGTTTCTCGTTTTGGGTTCTGAAATGGACTATGTTGCCCAGGCTGGTCTACTGGATTTAAAAGATCTCTCAACCAACTGGGTATGTGAAACTATAGATGCAGGCCACTGTACCGACTTAAGAGGTTTGAGACAGGGGCTGGAGTGATGGCTCAGTGGCTAGGGACACTCTTAATAAACTTATAGTAATGATTAATTCTTAGAACTTTCAGAGACTGCTCTTCCAGAAGACCCCATTCAGTTCCCAGAACCAACATGGCAGCTCACAACATCTGGAACAGCTTCAGAGGACACAATGCCCTCTTCTGACCTCGAGGACTCTACACGCAGGTAATACACAGACATACATGTCAGCAAAAAATCCATAGTGATAAAATAATTGAAAAAATGATATAAAAACGAGGTTCAGGACAGTGTTTAAGGGAAGCTAAGATGAAATGGTGATGTCGCGATGTTTCAGTTTGGATGTCAGACCAGATACCAACTCTCCTGATCTCATCAGTACTGTTTATATGTTGACTTATCATGCTGAGCCCTATAAATGCATACAATAAAAATGAAATAATAATACAGCAATCACAAAGCATCCCTCCCCCCAGTTGTTCCACAGTGTCATACTCTAGCTCGTCTTAAAGACTGACTGTGTCAAGTGTCACTGGCACGTAGATTAGCTTTCTTCACCAGTCTGTGCCTCCTGCCGGCTGTGGCTCCCCACGACAATGCTGGCAGTGAATATGCTCACTCAGGCACTGTTTGTTGGGTATCTGCCATGTGTTGGGCATTGTCCTGGTGCTGCCTGGTTACTTCTTAGCTCAGTTGAATGGGGGAGACCCAATGTCTCCACAGTCCACTCCCCAAGCCCCATTTTAAGTGTGGAAACAAATGTTAGTAATGGTGTGTACAACAGTGTGAAAGTACTAAATGCCAGTGTGTTGTACACACAAAAAAATGATAAAATTTTGTATGCTTCGATGCAATAGAAAAATAGTATAAATCTTATAAAGTGAGAATTAAATAAGGCCACAAGACAATTAGATTAACAGTAAGTTCTAGGTGTCAGTCATCATTGAATTCTTCAGAATCAGGAAGATGGTTCAGCAGGTAAAGGTGTTAGTCAGCTGTGCAAGCCAGATGACCTGAGATTGATCCCTGAAACCCAAATAAAAAATCTGGATGCCGCTGGGCTATGGTGGCACATGCCTTTAATCCCAGCACTTGGGAGGCGGAGACAGGTGGATTTCTGAGTTTGAGGCCAGCTTGGTCTACAGAGTGAGTTCCAGGACAGCCAGGACTTCACAGAGAAACCCTGTCTCGAATAACCAAAAACAAACAAACAAAAAACAAAACAAAAAGAAAGGAAGAAAGAAAGAAAAAAAGGAAGAAAGAAAGAAAGAAAGCAAAATTAAAATGAAGTGAACAGACTCTATTAGCTCTACAAGGGATCTAATGGGTGAAAACTATAAAGCCTAGAAAAACAAGAGTCTACTGAACCATATACATTTAGCTTGAACGTATTTTCTGTAATACAATTAGATTTCAGTGAAAATTTGATTCATTTTTCTTAGAACTGTAAATTGTTTGTGTAAGGAATGTGTTGGAAGACTCAGATCTCTCTCTCCTCTCCTCTCCTCTCCTCTCCTCTCCTCTCCTCTCCTCTCCTCTCCCTCTGTCTCTCCTAGCGGAGATTAAGGTGCTATTTTAGATCTCTCTCACACACAGGGTAAGTGCTCTTTCTCTGAGCTCCCAAGCTGTGCTTCTTACACATATTGCCAGCACTGGGGAGATATATTCTTCTGAGGCACGTAGTGGCTAGGAGTTGAACTGAGCTTTAGGACAAAATGTCTAAGCTCCAATTCCAGCTGCACAGCTTGAGTGTGTAATTTGGAGTAAATTATTTAATTTCAAGTCCCACTTTTTCCTCCTTCAAAGCAGAGGTAATGCTAGCACCCATGTCATAGGATTGTTCAGATTAAGAGACACTCCCCAGATAAAAATGTTTGGTACAGTTAACGTTCAGAAAATACTAGCATGAGCTGGGGAGATGGCTTACCTGTTAAGTACTTGTCTTGCAAGGATGAGGAACTGAGTCAGGTGTGTCAGCACATGCTGCCACACAATCCCAGCACTGAGGATCCTTGGAGCTCACTGGCCATGGACTAACGTAGGCGTCTCTATGTATGTATGTATGTATGTATGTATGTATGTATGTATGTATGTATGTATATATTGGGTTTTTGTTTGTTTTCTTTTTTGGTTTTTCAAGACAGGGTTTCTCTGTATAGCCCTGGCTGTCCTAGAACTCACACTCTGTAGACCAGGCTGGCCTCGAACTCAGAAATCCACCTGCCTCTGCCTCCCAAGTGCTGGGATTAAAGACGTGCGCCATCACTGCCCGGCATGTATTGGGTTTTTGAGACAGGGTTTTTCAGTGTATAGCCTGTCTTGGAACTTACTCTATAGCCCAGGCTGGCCTCAAACTCAGAGATCCACCTACCTCTGCCTCCTGAGTGCTGGGATTAAAGGCATGCAACACCATGCCCAGAGAAAGTAGGCATCTTAAAAGTATCAATAAATTCACAAATTTTTGAAAACTTAAAAGTGAGAAATAAGAAAACAATTTGAAAATTAATATATCTGATGATTTTAGAAACTCTTTAGAATTGTGTTGTGTTTCATGATCATAGCCATGATTTTCATCTAGAAACTGCCTCAAATTATAACTCTCTGGGCTCACAACCAAGTGATTTCTAAATATGGAGATGCTGAATGAATAAAAGTCCTGATGGTTTCAACTTTGAACCAAAACATATCAAAAACCAAGAAAAGGTTCAGTAGTCTGCAGAGGTCTGAGAACTCTAAAGTCTGTAGTCTTTTGACCTGACATTGATCTTTGCTCTTTAGGAAGCTGGATCATCAGGAAACCTGCCAAGTGGACCCAGAGATGCCACTACAGAGATGCCTTCAGACTGACACACAACTGGAGGCACTGTGCTCATAATCTCTGACTCCTATCTCCCTGTGCCATGCTTTTTCTAAACAAGTGTATGGAGCGGGGTCTTGTTTATTTGGGTTCTAATTCTTGGCCCAGTCAGTACAGACATTCAGTAAGTGTCACTTCACTACCATAACGGTGACCCTTCCCATTTGAGCTCTTTAACTTTGAGTGTGATCTTTTTTAGTGACCCAGAGGAAGACATTAGCGTGGCTAATGGTGGATTCAGTTTATAGCTTAGTTTGCTGAGTAGGATTTCAACCACTGAGCTACAGTGAGCTACGCCTCTAGCACAGTTCTCAGCTCCCCTCCACCTAAAACAGCTTCAGGATCATGGCAAATACTCAAGCATTTTCTATTTTTTTTGACACAGAGTTTCTTTGTGTAGCCTTTGCTGTCTGTCCTAGAACAAGCTCTATAGACCAGGCTGGCCTAGAACGGGACTCAACAAGAGCTCCGACTGCTTATGCCTCCGGAATGCTGGGATCAAAAGGCATGTACCACTATCACCAGGCAATATTTTATTTTTAATTTGTGTGTATGTGTGTATGGGTTTGTGTGTGTGAGTATGGGTGCCTGCAGAGTCCAAAGGAGCCCCCTTGAAGCCCTAGAGCTGGAATTAGAAGGCTGAGAGCTCCCTGAACTGCATGCTAGAAACGAAAGTCTCCTCTGGGAGAGCATCAAGTCCTCTTAATTGCTGAGCCAAACGTTAGTAATTTTTAAAACATATATGGATACTATTTTGTAATCTCATTTTATTCATCTATATGTCTATCTATCTATCTATCTATCTATCTATCTATCTATCTATCTATCTACCTACCTATCAATCCAGACAGGATTTCTCTGTGTAATCCTGGCTGTTCTAGAACTAGCTCTGTAGACCAAGCTAGCCTCTAACTCAGTGATCTGCCTGCCTTTGCCTCCTGAATGTTGGCACTAAAGGTATATGTCACCATGCCTGGCTGTAATTTACTTTTAAAAGGACATTGTGAATATTTTTCTCATGTAATTTGTGATTAATACATTGTTTCTTGTCTGCCCCAGAATCTGTACTATATAATTAATTTAACCAATATTTGATTGTGAGACATTTACAGTTTCCAGTGTTCTGTGAAGTGATGGGTAACTCTAGAGTAAACATTTGGGGCATAAATCTTGGGGTATATGTCTCCTTCGTTCCTAAGGGGTTTCTAAAAGTAGAATGCTGAGTCAAAGGGTATCAGTGCTTTATACGCTTCTGCCAAGATGTCCCCCCAGAAAGGTCATGTGGCTTTTCAGTTTGAATGATTGAGACTATTTCCCCATAGCCCTTTGGAAGTAGGTATGGGGCTCCTGGGTCTCTGGAGTCTATAGCTTTCCTTTCCAAAACTAGTATCTGCTGAAGTACTCGTCTTCTTTCATCCCAGGTTCCTTGAATTGTTTCCCTTTTAAAATCCACAATACTATGTTTCCTAACCTTAAATTTCTGCCTGTTACAATTCCAAAGCCTTCTTTACATCACGTCCCTTCCAGCCATCTGGAGTTGGACTATGCTGTTGTGTCTTATAGGTTTGAATTGTGACAAGAAGTCAGGTCCTAGAGGGTAAGAACACAGCTCCTCTGTGGAGCCCAAATCTCACCAAAGACAGAGACAGAGCTCTCTAGTGGAACAATCGATTTTATAAATTAGTAAATTCCCTATTCCCCTAAGGAAAAAATTAGCCATATTCAAGAGAAAGTATTCTGTCTCTCTCTGAGACGTGAGTTATTCTAGCCAGGGAAAACAAAACAAACAAACAAAACAAAACAAAACTATTTTAAGTATTTAAATATAGAAGGGTTCCAACAAGATGGCTCTGTGGGTAGAGAGAGGTGCTTGCCACCAAGCCTGGTAACCTTTTCATGACCTGAGTTTGATCCCTGGATCCACACAGTGGTTCAAGGAAGTTGTCCTTCAACCTCCACACTCATGACATGGTATAAATGCCTTCTCAAACAAGCAAACAAACAAACATTAAACGCAGAAGCAATTTAATTTAGGGAAAATTAAGAAGTCAAATAGATATTGAAATAACATTGAGATCTGTAATCTTGGGGAGTTGATTCCACCCTATTCTAGAAGGACAAAGAGAAGAGCAGGGTGGAGGGTCACCGAGAAGAGTCTGGCACTGGTGTGGGCCTGTCTGCTGGAAGGTGGCCTACAGAAGTTGTACAGGTGTTTCTTGTCGACTAAGGCAGAATGGAAGGGGGAACTCTTGTAGATTTTCCTTCCTTTTCCCTTCTGATCTCTTCCCAGTGTAACCTATTGTCAAAGAGCTCATTAACATAGATGCTTCCGGAATTGTATGGAGCCTGTGGTTAACTGTATGAACAGAGCAGAGGAGGAGAAGGGTGTGGAAAACTGTCCAGGCACAGTGACTTCTAGAATCCCTTCAAGTTCATAGACAGTAGGATATCCATGCTAGCCTCGGAGAGGTGTACAGGCCCAGGGTTGAATCCTGGCTCTGTCACTCCCTGACCTGGGCTACACAGTGAGACCCTGTCTTTAAAAGATGGATAGGTGGGGACAAGGAAGATTGCTGAGAGAAACTGAATCTCATAGGAGCATACGGAGGGTCAAATTAAAGAATAGCTTAAAATAACAATAAACATTTGACAGATTTTTTTTCTCTTTCATTCAAAATTTTATTTATGATTTCATGGTAAAGGGCAGTGGGGCATGGGTCAAGAGGACAGAAGAGGCATTCATTCGGCCTGTGGTAGTATATGTGACTAAGGTGCCTTATGATCAAAGTGGGAGACAGACTAGGAGACACTGAGAGTGTGCACAACCAGTTCAGACATTGCTTGCCCAGAGGAGATATTATCCCATTGGATGCTGAAAGAGACCAACTTTCAAAAAATAATGGGATAGGGACGTCTGTAATGGAAGAAGCAGTGGTCTACTTCTGCTCAGGAAGTGAAGAAGTCTTTATGAGATGACGCTGTTCTGAAGGTTGGGTTGAGTTATCCAGAGGCATGCACAAAAGTATAACTGAGAAACGAGTTGTTGGGGTAAGCTAGTCTGCTTTAGGAGGGGCCATGAGCACATCTCAACACACTGGACAGTGTGAGTTCGAGAGAACAAAGCTTCCCCTTAATAGTAAACACAGAATGGAAAAAGTAATTAACTTCTTCTGATGCCAAAAGGCTCAAGGTAAATATTTAAAACATTCTAGTTTCCGAAAACTAGGACCGTCAGGGGAGGATTGAGGATGTTTGTGGTTATAGGACAGGGTTTCAGGGGTCTGATTACACTTTGGATGTGACAGGGATTTTGTGTCACTGTAATTGAAAGAGAAATGTGACATGATAATTCCAGAGTCGTCCTGCTTTTGGAGCTTTCTCTGTATACGATCTGTGAGCCTCAAGACAGTTCTTGGCATACGGGGAAGGCTGATAAAATGGAGGTCTGAGAGTTCCTTCCCTCCCAAGAAGTTACAGTCATGGCTGAAATTGCTTTTATGAACACATCACCGTCATCTTTCCCAAACTCACCTTTCTCCTTCCATATGCCAAGATGGCTTCTTTGAGGTCTCGAAGTGTGTGCAACTCAAGGTCCGGCTTCTTCCTGGGACCTTTTCTCCTTCCCCTGGGTGTCCATGATGACACAGCTAGCCCTTCTGAATAGAGAATCAGTGCCCCCTTTCTTGTGCTGAAGGTCTTAGGAAGAAAGAGGCTCCAGGAGTGCTGCCTGGCACTTTTCCCATTCTGGGCTTCGCTGACAAGGATGTAGTCTTCTGGGGACTTCCAGTTTAAATAGTCCTTTAATGAAAAGAAAAATTGTCAATTGAGTCACTGTGTGTGGTGGTTTGAATATGCTTGGCCCATGGGAAGTGGTTCTCTTAAGAGGCATGGCCTTGTTGGAGGAAGTTCGTCACTGTGGGGGTGGGCTTTGAGGTCCTATGCTCAAGCTCTACTCACTGCAAAAGAGAGCCTCCTCCTGGCTGCCTGCAGAAGGCAGTCTCCTCCTGGCTGCCTTCAGACCAAGATATAGAACTTGAGGCTCCTCCAGCACCTTGTCTGCCTGCAGGATGCCATGCTCCCACCATGATAATAATGGACTGAATCTCTGAAGCTGTAAGCCAGCTCCAATGAAATGTTTTCACGATGTCTCTTCACAGCAATGAAGCCTAACTAAGACACTGTGGAAGATCCTTCTGCAGCAAACACTGTTTATGCAAAATTTTTGCGTTTCTAAATCCATTTCCTTACATGTACACATGCATGCACATGTGCCACGTCCATGGTGTAGAGATTAGAGGACAATGTGTGGGCATCAGTTATTGCCTTCTACTTTATGGGCTTGAGGGATCACACTCAGGTTGTCAGTGTGGGTGACAAGTGCCTTTACTGAGCCATCTCTCCGCTCATTCCCTCCCCTTTTCCCAGGTGTTAATTTTTCTCTGACTGTTCAGGTGGAATTTTTTGTTTTGTTTGTTTTTTGAGACAGAGTTTCTCTGTATAGCCCTGGCTGTCCTCGAACTCACTCTGTAGACCAGGCTGGCCTTGAACTCAGAAATCTGCCTCCCTCTGCCTCCCAAATTCTGGGATTAAAGGCGTGCGCCACCACTGCCAGGCTTCAGGTGGAATTTTGAAACAGATCTACTCTTTAGCAATTGGGTTTTCTCTCTTTAGTGCAGCAGGCCTTTAATCCCAGCAGAGACAGCTGGGTCTTTGTGAATTTGAGGCCATCCAGGCATGTCTAAATTTCTATCCAAGACAGCCAGGACAACAAAGAGAGATGCTGACTCACAAAACAAATAAAACAAACCTCAAACATGTGCTTGGAGAAATGGCTCAGTGGTCCAGAGGACCTAAATTCAGTTCCCAACACCCACACTAGGCAGCTCACAACCATCTGTAACTCCAGATCTAGTGCAGCCAACACCTCTGGCCTCTTCAGGTACCTGAACTCATATCCATATACCCACATGCAGACACACACACCTACAGTTAACTAAAAATAACAGAAATCTTAAAACACACACACACACACACCCCAACACAATAACAAGACATTAGTAGAACCTAGTACACAAATTCATTTTTTTCATACACCTTTGAGAAGAGCCATATCTGTCTAGAGGCTTTGAGTAGAGCACAGTATGTGTGTGAGTATGTAAGCAAGGATTCAGAATTATCAAGGACAGTAGATGACTTGGCAATTAGATTCGGACTAATAACCAATTTAAATATGAGAAGCTAATCCAACCTGCTACTGTTTCTGCTGTGCATAGAGAGGAGATCTATACATCTCAGATTCTGTGTAACATTGCCTAATTTGACTACTTAGGTGCCTATAAAGTGGCTATATATTTTGTAAGTGTATGCCTGTGGCCATTGAAGTCCTTTGAAACTTTATATCTTTTATCACAGTGAGGGTCAAATAATGTATCAAACTACCATGACATGGAGATCTCTGTTTGACCTGTGAATTTGCAAAGTTCCCCAGTGCCTCTATTGTTCCTGGCAATCCTCAAGAAATGAAACTCTAGCACAACAAGGGGAGTTTTGCCACCTCTTAAAAAAATCTTCTAAAATGAGATTTGTTTTGGCCTCCATTAACTATGAGTCCTGTGGGTTTGAATTCCACAACATTAGCGTTGAAAGGCACAGAGACGCAAAACATTTCAACCACGGAGCACGGCTCCTAAAAGCCAACAGCAGTCAGCTCTCCTTCTGAACACCAGGTGGGAATTCTGGTCTTAACCAAATGTCCGGTCTCCAGACAATCCAGCTTCTCCATCAGCTGGATCAGAGGCGATTCTGGGAGTCAGGTATATAAAGGAAGATTCTCCAGTGTCCACCACTATCCTGGCTCCAACGCTTCCCGAAACATAGCTTGAAAAAAAACAAACAAACAAAAAACCCAGAACATTCCCCCTCATCTTCAAAATGTGCCCCACCCCTACCGCAGCTCTAAGACTTACCTCTGGTTCAAAATAGACCTCCAGCTTTTGTTTGTTCTGGACCAACTTCCCATGTCCTCTGCTCAGGAGAGAGAGGGTGAACATGTTTCCTCTCTGACTACTCCCTCTTAAGGGCAGTTCATCTCAGTTTTGAAGGCTGAAAACTGGTCACACCACAGGATTTTTAAAGCTCAACAGCAAACCAAAGGAGACTACGAACATTGAGCCTTTTATGAAATACATTTTCTCTTGTACAGCAGTCCAGTAACGGCCAGCCACACAGCCACACAGTTTAGACAGAGTGCATCTTTGTGGAGAGAGAAACCAAAATGTAAGGCCTGGCTCCTCAGACAGCAGCAGGCTATGTACTCACTGCTCCCTTGAGCCCTTGTTGTCCCTGAGACCTGGTTGCTCTGCTACAGGTCCGTTTGCATCTACAAATCTGCGCCAAGGCACCATCCTTCCTATTGTGAGTGGAGGTTGTTTCCAGTTGCTATGGCAGCATAGGGGAATGAAGTCCTTTAACCCAGGCAAGGCAGAGACAGCCAAAGGCACTGGCTGGAGTGAGGATGGAGATGGGGTTGCTGCCCGCTGGATGTTGAAGGGACCAGGAGTCTCACATACCAAGTCCGGGTCAGAAGGTGGGGTGGGAGGTCATGTTGGAGTTTTTTTTTTTTTTTTAGCACATGAGCCTGCCACTGTCAACTAACCATTAACAGACTTCAGGGAGTCCTCTAGGTCACCTAAAATCATCTGTGACATTTCCCTTGGCTGTGTCCCAGGATCCCCTGAACTAGACAGAAAGCCTCACTTTATTAATGGCTGCTTTGCATGAGCGACTGGGAGACACTGGGAAGCTCTGGCTTTCTTTGCATACCCAGTTCTCAATGGGGGGTATTTTTGTTGTCACACTAGCTCCCTCCCTGTCTCACCCCTTCCCTCCCACCAGCACACACATGACACTTTGGGGCCTAGGATGTTAAATGTCTTGCAAGGTCTTGGATAATGACTATCACTTGACACCCTGTTATGAACTTAGCCACTTGCTTCTCTTTGATGGTTACACTCGAGCACAGAAGCTGGAGAAGGGACAGGCAGTCCAAAGGCCACCTTGCTGTTTAGGAGCCGAGTTTTGGCCAAGGAAAGCAAGCCGCTTATGGAAGTGCCCCTGCTGGTTGGTATTCAGAACTGCAACAGCCTGTGGGCCTACAGCTTTTTCTCTGTGGAGGTCGTCCCAGCCCCCCCAGGCCGGCTCGATAAACCTAGAGCTAGACCTCATGCTGTGAAATGAGATTGAGTTTGTTTGGAGGACTCAAGACCCAGAATGCGGAGGTTCAAAACTGAGTTTAGTCAAATCAACAGTGAAACAACGGTTCACACCTGGGAAGCTGTAATAAAACAGTGAAATAACCAGTGTTGTCGAGGGAACGGAACTCAAAAATACTTGTCCATCAGTGTACATTTAAAATGATGCACCCTCACTAGGCGGAGGCGGTGGCACGTGCACACTTCTAACCCCTGCACTCGGGAGGCAGACACAGGCGGATTTCTGAGTTCAAGCCAGTCTGGTCTACAGAGTGCGTTCCAGGACAGCCAGGGCTACACAGAGAAACCCTGTCTGGAAAAAACAAAGCAAACAAATAAGCAAATAATAAGAACAATAATAATAAAACGAAATGGCACATACTCAGTGAAAAAATGGCATGACAGTTCCTAACAGAACTAAAAAAAAAGCAAATAGTCAATACATTGATTAGTGATAGGTTATTTCTCTGCTGATGAAATGAGCCAATTCAAGTCACATTAGAATTATTAAATGCAGGTTTATTGGGAAGCTGCTCGTGGGGAGTTTGTGGGCCCCCAGGATTGAGTCCAGGGGAGTCGCCATGAGGAGAGGGGAGAAAAAGAGAGAAGGGGCATATGTGCAGACGGAGAAGAGGAGGAGTAGGAAGAAGAAGAGAGAGAGACAGAAATAGGCAGACAGAGAGAGAGAGTAGAGGGAGAGAGAAGAGGGAGAGAGGAGAGGGGAAGGAGGGAGAGAAGGAGAGAGAACAAAATGTTTGGGTAGTCTGGATTACATAGGGAGGAGCCTCCGGGGGGAAGAGCAGCTTCAGCTCCTGGGGGCAGGGTATGCCAGGTAGGGACTAAGGGTTGCTGGGAGAACCTGGTGGCCAGGTCTGTTTCAGTGTGTAAAATGTGTACCTCAGTCCCTTGCCCCGGAGTCTAAAACCAAACAATTGTATAGTCCAGGAGGTCTACTTTTGAGTACATCCCCAAAAGAAGTTTCTGAAGACAGAGTCTAAGATCTGTCTTCCCTGTGTTCACAGCAGCACCAGTTACAACAGTTAAAATGTCAAATCAAGGGCTGGAGAGATGGCTCAGCGGTTAAGAGCACTGACTGCTATTCCAGAGGTCCTGAGTTCAATTCCCAGCAACCACATGGTGGCTCACAACCATCTGTAATGGGATCTGATGTCCTCTTCTGATGTGTCTGAAGACAGCCACAGTGTACTCAAATACATAAAATAAATGAATAAATCTTCTTTAAATAAAAGTGAAGTCCAATATTCACTAACACAGAGATGACTAAGATGTCATATGTATATAATAAAACATTATTCAGTCTTAAAAAGCCACTGAGATATGTGTTACAATTCTGATAAACCTTTAAAGACACAATGCTAAATGAAATAAGCCAAATGGTGCTGACTACATGAGTAGTTAGAGTCACTGAACCAGGAAGGGGGATGGTGATGTTGGGGGGGGGTCTGGGGGAGGGGTGGGGAGGAGGAAATGCGGTTATGTTCTGCAGATAACGTGTTTAGGAAAATAAAAGTGTTCTGGAGACAGCCTCACCACAGGCTGGATGTTCTTAGTGCCAAGGAACTGTTAATGGTAGACTTCTGTATCCTTATCATGATTATTTTTTTTCAAATATATAACAAAAAATTGAAAAACTGAATCGAACACTTGCTAATCCAAGTCCTTAGCATTATTCCCCTGAAGTGAGCTCCTCACAACAAAATCCTGCAAAGCCAGATCACTTAACTAGCTTCCTGGGGTCTTAAGCTACAGTTGCCTCTCTTCCCCTTCAATGCCTGTTCGAAGCATTAAAAACCTTTGACAAAAGTTTCCCAAGCGGTAACTATAGCTGAGAAGAAACCCTAGCCTAGAGGAGCATCCCGTCCCTGGAAGCCGTGTTCCCTGAGGCAGAGGACAGAGGTGTTCTAGGAGGAGGGGCCGTGTGGTAGAGGAGAGCACAGATGGTGGGGGCCTGTGGAGGACTACAGACAGGAGGGCTGTTAGGGTGGGACCTCAAAGGGCAGAAGGTCAATGGGAAGATGTGAGCATAGTGTGGGGGAGGATGTTACAGGAGGCTCGCACATGACCTCTCTGTCTGCCATGGCCTTGGAGGTCAGATACCCACTGGCTTTTATCCCTCAGCTCCTTCCTTTCCAGTCTCGTCTTTTTAAAGATGGTCTCATATATCCGAGGCTGACCTTGAAATTGCTGCGTAGTCATGGTGATCTGGAATTCCTGATCCTTGGGCCCACTCAGATGGGGTTTTCAAAGCAAGAGGGTAATGTGACTCCGTCTGGGCCTTTAGAAACTTGTAAAAGGTGACTGGACGTGGGAGCTTATCTCGTGAACCTCTCCGTGAACTCTCAGGACTGGGAACCCCTACCAGCCTTCCCTTGGACTTGAATGAACTTGTCTTTAGGTCAGGAATGACTAGTTGGTTACTAAGTGGCCATTGAATGAAATATACAAAGCTGATGGGGTTTCCACCAGCTGCAAGAAAATAGAAATCCTAATGTTTTGGAGATGACGTAGCTTAAAAGAGGGTAAGACGGCTCAGAAGCATGGTGGAGTCACTGGAGAGCCGCAGCCACTGGCTGACAGGTGATTCTGTCTCTAAGGAAAGTTCCTTGTGTGAGCCCCACAGACTCTGCAGTGTCGATTTGCCCACAGATGGTGAATGGGACACCAGAAAGTGATTGTTCCAGTCTAGTTTGAGTATCTTACTTGAGAAGATACCCAGGTGTTCATGTGTCCCTCTCAAGGCCAGGGCAAGGCAGCTAGGCCACTCTGGGGTTGTACTCTGTGAGCAGACAGCTCATAGCAGGCCTCTCCTAAATCATCGAGTTTACGTCCGTGCTGTTTACAACGGACAATGAGCAGAACCACGGATCAATTAATAGGCATTTAGAAGCATTTACTCAGTCCCAACAACAGTTTATGGAAAGTGCATTTAGAAAGCAATCGAAGTTATTGCTATTCTAAAGTGCTTGGGGATCCCAGATGAAAGGCCCTCGTAACTGGGAAGTATTTATAACTCAAGAAGGAGCCCTCCACACCCATGTTATACAACACCACCACCATCCCCTGGCATGCCCGACCTGTCAGCCCATGCAGCGTGTCTGTTTAAATTACACTGTAAATTCTATAGGGTGGAGGCCTTGTTTTTATGGTTTGTAAAGCATCATGAATAACCATGGTACTCTGTAAATAAATAAAAACCACATGAAATGATGAAAATAGATGGCGCATCCCCTGTGTGCTTGGGAATTTGTCCTTTGTTTTTAATGTTCGTGGGTTCGATGGCTGTCACTCTGCAAAGAGTGGCCTGGGAGGCTGCACCAGGATTTTTTTGCCCCACTTCATAGAAGTTTGAGTGTTTAGTTTTATTTCTCTTTAGTCTACAAGATCCATTGATGCTGTCTTATTTTCCAAAGAGCACAGACAGAATAGTTTCACAAGGCCACAGAGCAAAGCAAAGATAACATGGGACTGTCCCTGAATTTGATTATAACCTGTTTTTTATACTGGAGTGGTGGCAACTGTCCCTAAGAAACTCCCTCAAGGCTAATACACAGCTGTCAGGATGGAGTCATGACCATGACTACGGCCTCCCCTTCAGCAGTGGGATGCTAGCCCTCTGACCTGACTTCCAGGGCTCCCTCTACTCTCCTATGACCAGCCTGGCTTCTTGCTTTACCTTACAAGTGGGCTGGGTCAGCTCTTAACTTCTTGAACTACAGGAATTGTCAAGTCAAGGCCATGACAGACAACCACAGGGATCTGCCACAAACACCAAACACGGA